AAGACAAGAATTGTCTGTGTACACAGACAAATTTTGTCTGTGTACACAGACAAATTTTTTCTGTTTCCACAGACATTTACTTTTTTGTAAAAAGTACTTGTCAGTATCAGACGGCTCTCAGTGTACTTTTTACAAAAAAGTAAATGTCTGTGAAAACAGACAAAATTTGTCTATGTACACAGACAACTCTTGTCTGTAGTCACAGACAATTCCGTACCAATTGTCTGTGACCGACATTGTGTGTACAAGTTGTGTACAACTTGTGTACCCCTAGCATTTTCCTCTTTAGTTTGCTTTTGAGAAAATGTTCCCTACACTCTACACACTAAATTTTTATGCTACACAATTTTTAGATAAGCCATGATTGCCCCATTTTCAATGAGATAATGACATTTCGATTTTAAGTTTTAACTTCACTACTACAGAAATTGTTACAGAGTATGTTTTACTTTTAATTTTTCTTTTTTAAGGAGTAACAACCATATCATAAAATATGTTTTCACAGGAAAAAAAAACACTTATAACAAGTAACAACATCAAACATTGGCAACCATCTGTGTACTTCACCAGTCCCTTCATGTGCCTCCTCGTCTTCTATCTTTTCAGATCCGATTATCCAATCATACATTTTAACCCTCGAATTTCTCTTTGATCTTCCCTCCAATGTGCCTTCTCAACTAATTTCAGTCCCTTGAATTTCTCTTTGATCTTCCCTCCATCCTCCAGTGACAAGAACACTTCCTTCTCTTCATACATCTTTTGAATTTTAGCTTTCCAATACACCCCAAATTCCGAATCCATCTTCTCAGGAGGTACTCTGTCAATGCATCTAAGAGCATGAATGGAGACCTTGACTTTAATGAAACGGTCCAGGATGTAACTGAACAGACGTTTGCCTTGCACATTGGGCTTCCAATTCCTCCTTGTCTTGTTTCCGCCATCTTCGCTGACTTGGTTGCCGAAGCGAATACGGCGCCCAGCATAATAACATTACTCTTGGGTGGCAATTTTTCCAGCCCCCAAGCTCTTCTCACCACCTATCTTCTTGACTAGCATCTTCATTGCATCCTTGGATCTAATCGCCATACCAAGCTCCAAGCTCCATCCGGAAGGTGAAAATTGATAAGGACCGATTGGCCGAACCACCGAAGGGTGAGTGCCGGAGAGCAGACAACCGGGAGACGGGCTTGAGGTGGTGACTGCCGACGGCTGTACGGTGCTGGCGCCTGACAGAGTGGCGCTGCCCGTTTTACTTTTAAAATAATTAAAATAAATAGATTTTGAGTTTTTTTCAAAATTTATGTTAAGTAAAAAAATATTTACCAATCTAATGTTGAGTTAAGAACATTTCCTTAGGTACTGTCGCACTAACTCTGGTTAAGACAATCGCCATTGCGACTCGCCGACTTGGGTGTATGATGCAGAAAGGCAATCTTGGATTATACTTCGTATTAAAAAATAAAGAACCCCAATTTTTTAAAAAGTGATCCAACGTTTATATTAAATCTTGGATCATTATAAAAAATATATCAAAGTTTATAACTTTTTATTATCTTTCATATGACACCAATATTGAATATATAAAAATTAAAAAAAAAATTACTCCCTCCGTTTCATTAAGATTATCTTAAACACTATTCACTTGGTCAATACAAATCACTCTTAATTGCTAACTTTATATATCAATATCAAAATTTTATCAAATTTGATTCTGGTTTTTGAGACGTTGTAAAGTTTTTAATGTAATTTTTGAATATGCAATTTTTTCCCTAAAAATAATTTGAGTGCAGACAGAGATCTGTTTGTTTTATCGTCGATCAAGCATCATAAACCGAATTGTCCCAAACATAGTGAGACGGAGGTAGTACTACTTTAGAAAAAATCTGTTTTTTAAACTGCTACAACGTTTTTATTTGTATTCCGATTATATTTAAAAATATATCAAAATTCATAACTTTTTATTATCTTTCATATGACTATAATATTTCATAGCTAAAAAAATAGCACTTAAACATCAATTTTTATTCGTACTCTAATTGTTACAAATAATATATCAAAATTCATAACTTTTATGAGACTTAAAAAACCAATAATATATCAAATAATTGTCATATGAAACCAATATATCATGTTAAAAAGTTATTTTTAACATATAAGATTTGACATGAGACTTAAAAAAACTCGCAATTTTAAACAAATGAGGTATAATGCATTAGAATTGTTTCATTTCTAACCCTGCGATATTGATTTCATATGAAGCGTAATAAAAAGTTATGAGTATTTATATATTATTTATAACAATTAGAGTACAAATAAAATGTTATAACACTTTACAAAACTGTACCGGAAATGTAGCAGTACTATACTGGTATTGCAACTACTTTTGGAGTGCGTTTCTTTTCAAAAAGAAAACGAAACAATTAATTTTATAGGTCCTAGAAAGAAAAGCGAGACAGATAAACTAATACAGAGGGAGTAATAAGAATTTGTATATTTCGATATATTTTGTTAGACCATCAGAATACAAAAAAGGTATAACACTCGGAAAATAGATTTTTTTAAGTGCTAATTTGTTTTTTATTCTTACCTATGAAATATTAGTGCGATATGAAAAATAATAAAATGTTACGAATTTTTATAATTTTTTTAAAATAATCGGAGTACAAATAAAAAAATTGTACTCCCTCCGTTTTTAATAAACTTCACACTTTCCTTTTTGGGACGGTCTAAAATAAACTTTACACTTCCTTATTTCCTTTTTTTGGCAAAGAAATCTACATCAAAACAGTGTCAAACAGTGTCTCAACAGTGCCAAAAAATGTCTCTACAGTGCCAAACAGTGCCTCAACAGTGCACTCTACAGTAAAGTCAAATTTCTTTCCTTATTTTGTGTGAAGTCAAAGTGTGAAGATTAAATAAACCGGAGGGAGTACTATGTAATACTTTGAAATACATTTTTTTAAATTTCAAAACATTTTTTTAAATATTGGTGTCATATGAAAGCTAATAAAAAATTCTGAATTTTGATTTATTTTTTATAACAATCGGTGTACAAACTAAAAAGTTACAACATTTTTAAAAAAAATGGGGTTTTCTATTTTGGTGGATCCCATTAGTTCCTCTTGTCCAATTTTGTGCTGCGCAATTTTCTTGTGGGTCGTACATGTAAGTGGCCAGTGAGAATTGCGATTGTCCTAACCTGAGTTAGTGGAGCAGTACATAGGGAAATACTTTTAACCCAAAACCAATTTGGCAAATACTTTTTCATTTAGCATTAATTTGGGGAAAATCTCATAGATTTTATTCATAGAAAAATAAAGTACAATGCGAGAAGATAAATAAAGTAAAAAAAAGTACATAAAAGAAACGAAAATGTAAAGACAAAAACTAGACTCAAGGGAAATCTCTGGATTGTGACCTAGTCGTCATGGTATGCCGCCTTTTGTTCTTTTGAGATTTCCTGTATATTTTGAGTTGAGTGTTCAGGTTATCTGTTGGCAAGCAGTTTTCATTGGTGACCAGGTTTGATTTACCTCTTAGATCATAAAATGTACTAATTGCAATAATAATTTTTAAAAACTATTTTTATCTTTAATTTTTATGCATAGATGATCACGCCATTGAATCATTCATCTGTAATAATATCAATATTAAATGCGTGGTACATTGATAAGTTCGTATTACAATACGCATTTGATGCGTGTTGGGATCGACTTTTGATGGTTTTCCTAGCTTTTGGGTGTCGTAAGTCTCAATTTTAGCTCAAGTCATGTTTACCGGGCGTTGGTTCGAGTTTTGGTATTTTTAGAGTTGAAATCGGGTTTTTGGAACCCGTCATCGGCGCTTGAGAAGTGATCGGGACAAGTTAAGAAGCATTCGAGAGTGAATTTAGAGTTTTGAAGATCACCGGAAGGTTTACGATGGAGTTTTGATGAAGAAAGAGCTTTTGGATCGATCGAGTGGTCAAACGGAGACTTAAAGTGGAAGAAATCGGAGGAAACGAAGAATTAAGGCCATGCATACCAGTTACTAACTTGTATTTTTATTGGTACATTATATACTGGTAACTTTCATCTGCATAGAGGTGGTGTTTAGTACATCTTTAATGTAACCGGTCATAAAATACTGGTCTAAAGTTGTCGGTACATGACCAGTATATATGACCGGTAACTTTATATCATGACCAGTAACATTAAAGATGTACTAAAAGGTTAGTATACACACCGATATAAAGTTACCGGTTGTAAACCAAAGAGTAACTTGTAAAATGTTACACATGAATTCCTAGATATGACCGGTAACTTTATATTACTGGTACACAACGTCTATATTATGACTGATACATTTTATACTGGTAACTTTCATCTGCATTCCTTGGAAGGGGATATGACCGGTCCGAGTCATACTGAGGCCCCCGCAAGCCAAAAATGGTACTCTATATACATCTTGTTTGGTCCGAAAATATTAGAAGTGTTACTTCAATATTTTACATGCGCAATAAAAAAATCCAAAAAGCAAATACTTTTGTTGGCAATTTAGCATGAACATAATTTTGGGCCATAAATGGCTTAACGTATTTATGCCCTTAATTTTTGTTTTGAGCGTACAATGTGGGCCTAAAAGTTTTAAAGCACATATATGCATCTTACGTTTATTCCAAGAGGCAGATTGACCCTAAATATTACTTAGGCATGAACAATGTTCTATAAGACGTTAGGCGCTACCTTTGCGCCTAGGCGGATGCCTAGACGGCAACTAGTCGATGACATAGAAATTGCACTTTTATCAATGTCTTTACTTAAATATGGTTAGTAAGGTTGTGTTATGGTGTTTGTGTTTGTAATAAAAAATAAATAAACACATCCATGCTCAATAACATGCATGAATGATAGAGTTGTCACATTTGATGATATATTATACCTACTTAGTTAACTTCATTATGTAATAAATATTATTAAACAATAACAATATCTAAGATTATAATCAACATGTATAGTTTAATAACTTTCTTCATATGTGTTGTTAAACCTAAAGGTACATATATCTTTTAGGAAACTAAAATATAAAAGCAAAAGAAAATGTTCGGTCGGTGAATCTAAACGACATAGGTTGTCACGCCCCGGACCTACCGGACACGTCAACAACCCGCCGTACAGTACGAATAGTCAACCGCAGTCCAACTCATCCATACTATACTAGGCGTCTTGAATACCATTCACACATAGTACATCCATAAACAAACATAATGTAAAATATTCATATAAAGCAGCGGAAACATTAATACACGTATTCAAGCCACACGTGGCAAACATGGGCATACAAGCCCCCAAATAGTATTCAAAATAATTTCCATGAGCATTATTGTAATTGTTTAAAACAGAAACGGAAGAAGCACGAACCACGTCCTCCTCCTTTGATCTTCCCGAAGCAACGGGCGTGGTAGCAACCTTCAAGTCCTACCTGAAACTGTGAGGTGGCCTCCCCCGTGAAGGGGAGGTCAGTACTTGGAAGCATTTGACAAGTACAATGACAACTATACTAAGTATAATCAACGTTTCAATTTCCAAGACCCTCAAATAGGGTGATATTACAATATAGGTCATAACTCGTGGTTACCCTCTTTACAAATATACTTACTTTATATATAAAGTCAAGTAATCGGCCGAAGGCTCATGTTTACTTTGAAAACATTTAACCCTTCCCCCGTGACTTCAAGCCACACCCATCTATATCAGTTTACCATGCTAGAGGCTTCCTCTAGTCATGTTTTGTCGTGCTAGAGGCTGACTCTAGTCACTACATTCGGTGTTAGAGGCTTCCTCTAATCACCTTACATACTTTGTGCTGGAGGCTTCCTCCAGTCACATTACATTATGCTAGAGGCTTCCTCTAGTCATCTTACACTACGCTAGAGGCTTCCTCTAGTCGTCCTACACGAATGCTGGAGGCTTCCTCCAGTCATTCCTCATCGTGCTAGAGGCTTCCTCTAGTCACGATACTACTCACTAAGCAAATTCTATGCCTAGGTTTTCTCTATCTTGAGTAGCCTATGAGGCCTACTCCTATTGTAATTTAGCGGTTACCCATTCCTACCTTAAGACATCTCATAAGACTACTTAAGGTGCATCCTTCACAATCCAAGCCCTTAGGATTTGTTCTATCACTTTTTACACTAACATTCCCGACTAGAGAATTCAATACTAATCCATTAGTCTTTAAACAACCAAGATCTTTAATTCATTGTTATAAGGCTCATTCCTACGGATCTTCCACTCCGTGTAGGATTTAATCTCAATATAAAAATATCACTTTTATCCATTCGTGATTTCTACACATGAAGTAAAAGTATATTTTATCACATAAATTCATGGTTTGCACAATCATTATACCATCATATTTGTAATGCATCATCATACACAATTTTCTCATAAACTTGTATGTTATGCATCTTCTATTCACAAACAATATTATTTCCATTTAGGCATTACTAATCATTAATAACCTATGAAAATCACATTTAATTACTTTAGGTAATCTTATGAAATTAACCCAAAGATTATAAACAATATAGTCGGTCATCCTCACCTCAAATGAGCTTTAAAACTTTCCTTCTCGATCCAATGACCAAAGCCTCGGCCAAGAAAGATTGAGGACTGATTCCTTGCTTGGAATTGAGTGTTAAACAGCCTCTTCAAAGTGCTAGTTCAACTCCTAACCGAAGACACAAAAACAGTCCCTAGAACGGGTGTTTCCCGACGAAATCGTTCCCTAACCTTTCAAGGTTTTGTCTAGATTAGTATCTAACTTTTCCAACAATTAAAGTCACTTTATAATAACATTTTATACACTTCAATCAGTGTATAATAGTTCTTCAATCATTTATATGGTTTAGACAATAGAGAGGAAGGTTTTGGATTCAAACTTACTTTGAATACAAAAACGTATTCCGCGAGGTTGTGTTTTGCTCGGACGATTTGAAAGCCTTCCACTACTCCGATTGATGCAAACCAGACCTTCACGGATTCCTCGTCTTGAGAGCTTTCTGTGGGTATCTCGCACGCCTTATTTGGATGTGTATAACTCGAGATATGAAGCAAACAAGTAACCTTACGCACTGGAAAACGAACCTGCGGCAGCTTCCCCTTCCTCTTGCTTTCTTGGTTGTGTGGCTCTCTCTTTCTCCCTTATCCTTGGGAGTTCGAATGAGGGGCTTAAGGGAGTGTCCAAGACCCTTCAATAAGGGTGGATAAGTTGTGTGGAGTGAAATGAATTGGTATGGTCTCCATGAGATGTTTTTAGACATGGGTGGGTCTCACTTTTGATCTCTTTGTCATAAGATGTCTCTTTGTACTCATTCTAATTTATTTGGAACAAGTCAACTCTCTACATCATATTATTGATCTCCAATATGTGTATGATCATCCCAATAATTTACATGATGAATATTATAGAAGAAAAACCCTACTCCCATTATTTAGCTCAATAATGCCAAAGATGGGGTTATAGGCATTTGTATTCTTCTCAAATCATCCTATCACTTATTTTGACATTTGCCATTCATATTATTAGGCTACAAGCCGTGTGGGTCGCCCCCGAGTGGGCCTACGACGCCATTCTCGAATACTTGCTATTCTAGCGGGTTGAGCCCAAAATAATATCTGGGCCGCCCGCCCTTCCTCAACTTGTCTTGAAATGTTATGTATTAATATTTAGATAATGTTAGGCTCTTTTATTTATTAATAAGGCCCGATACTTATATACGAGTTCGAACAGTACAATAATCGATCATTAATTACGTAAAACATTAGTCGTTTTACAATCGTTTGGGAATCAGAAATCCAATACATAAACTTTGAATTTTAAAATCAAGTTTTCAAGGACGTTTGGGTGCGGTGTCACATAGGTGGCCGATTAAGCGCTCTGGATAAGCAACTAGGCGCCCTAAGCGGACGACTAATTCACCTAGGCGACAAACCAATTAGTCGGAGCACCTAGAGTAAAATCGAGGCGCCCGGCCACCGCCTAGCGCCTAGGAGTGGCGGATTTTGCAACCAAATTTTTGGCGTTCAAAATGATTTTATCTATTTCACAATAATATTGTTTGGTCCACCAATTGAGAAAAGTAACTTTTTCAACATTAAAATCCCAACAAATAAGGTTATGAGCATGAAATATTACATAAAAATCAATATACAAATTATTACATCAATTTTATATGTGTATTTTTACGTTTTATTTTCGATATTTTGGGAGTTCACATGAACACCCTTGAATAAATGAGCTCCGCCACTGGCGCCTAGGCGGGGACTAGTCAAGCGTCTAGAGCGATTTTTAGAGCAGTGGGCATGAAGAAGGATTAGAAACAACAAAGCTCTTCCAAGAGTAGTTTAGTTCATAGAAGGCTGAAACATATGGACCAAACAAAACTTGAAACTTAATTGATAGCTCCAAAGTTAATTAAAAATTAATTTGAAGTGAATTACTATTCCATTCTAAATCATTGTTTATGCTTCATGAATAAAAGTGTATCATCTTTCACTGACACCTTTCATATGAAACAAATATGACATGTATACAAATAATTAATAGAAGTATAAGACACTTGCATTACTAAAATTTTAAAATAGAGTACTATTTTTAATCTTTATAGCCTCTACAGCTGAAGATATCATGGAACACTACGCTATAAGTCTAGAGAAGGGCATACATGCTATCTTGTAAGACTCGGGCTGGAGAGTGACCCGGATAAGTGAGTGGGTCATAAGTGGAGGGTAATTCACCTCCTGCTTCTTCAACTGTCGTGAAGCATGGGCATTTACCCTCCCCTCCTGCATCAACACCCATCCAAGCCCTTGGATGCTCGCGTCACTATAGACATCGTACCCCATACCCTGTTTGGGTAATGCAAGTACCGGTGCCTCGGTCAATCTCTCCTTTAGTTCAATGAACTCCTTCTCACATTTGTCATCCCATACAAACTTAGCTCCTTTAAGAGTGAGCTTTGTCAATGGTGATGCCAAAACGGAGAGTTTCTCCACGAACTTCCTGTAGTAGCCTGCTAACCCAAGGGAACCACGAATTTCCTTGACGTTCTTTGGTCTCTCCCATTCGGTAATGGCCCCTATCTTCTTATTATCAACAGCAATTCCCGATCCTGAAACTACGTGCCCGAGGAAGCCAATTCCCTTTAGCCAAAATTCACATTTAGAAAATTTGGCATAAAGTTACTTCTCCCGTAGTGTCTCAAGAACGAGTATCAAGTGCTCTTCATGCTCTTCCTTACTCTTTGAGTAAATCAAAATGTCATCTATGAACACAATCACGAATCGATCCAAGTATTTATGGAATACTCGGTTCATCAAGTCCATGACTGCTGCTGGGGCGTTTGTTAACCCAAACGACATAACAAGGAACTCAAAGTGCCCATACCTTCTGCGGGAAGCACTCCTTGGTATGTCATCCTCCTTAATCTTCGATCGATGGTACCCCGACCTCAAGTCAATCTTTGAAAACACAGTTGTTCCTCGTAGTTGATCAAACAAGTCATCAATCCTAGGCAAAGGATACCTATTCTTGATTGTGACCTTGTTCAGTTGACGATAGTCAATGCACATTCGAAGTGTCCCATCTTTCTCTTTCACAAAAAGAATCGGTGCTTCCCACGGGGAGTGGCTTGGTCTAATGAAGCCATTATCCAAAAGCTCTTTCAATTGGGTTTTCAACTCGTTAAGTTTAGCGGGTGCCATACGGTATGACGGTATGGAGATTGGTTTGGTGCCGGGCTCGACCTCGATCACAAATTCAATCTCCCTATCAGGTGGAAGCCCCGGCAGGTCCTTTGGGAAGACATCCGGGTACTTACAAACCACCCTCACATCGTCGATGTTCGTTTCCTCCTTGGTCTTGTCAACCACTTATGCTAGATAAGCGTGACATCCCTTTCTCATCATACTCCTCGCTCTCACAGCGGATATGATACAGCTGTTTGATTTGCCTCGGTCCCCCTCGAAGCGTAGGGTATCCCCATCATTGCCTTCGAGTCCCAAGACCTTTGTGTCGCAATCTACCCTAGCATGATGCTTTTCTAGTCAATCCATCCCTAGGATTGCATCGAACTCCATCATACTCAGCGGTACGAAATCACACGTCAAGGTTTGGCCACCGATTTCCACCATACAAGACTGATAGTACTTGGTTCTTTCAACGTCTTCCCTTAGTGGTGTTGATACCACTAAAGTTCGCGTCATTGGTATTGATTGTATCTCTGAGCCCTCGGCGAACGCCTCACTTACGAATGAGCGTTGCGCTCCGGTATCGATAAGGATTCGCGCATGCTTCCCATTAATCTTTAGTGTTCCTACATTTATAGTCATGTGGGATACCTTTTCTAATGTTTTTACACATCATTAGGAGGTTATTAGGTTCATATTACTGTTTGGAATCAATCGGGGGTCCAAACGTAGAAGAACGGAGCGAAAAAATGAGTTTTCGGTTGCCGGGGGTCCACGCACGGCGTGCCTGGGTGGCACGCACGGCCGTGCGTGCACAGGATTCTCCCTGCCAGCCACTGCCTCCCAGGCACGGTGCCAGGCACGGCGTGCCTGCGGCCGTGCCTGGCCAAATTTTCTTCGGGGCGCCACTGCCTTCCAGGCACGGTGCCAGGCACGGCGTGCCTGCGGCCGTGCCTGGCCAAATTTTCTTCGGGGCGCCACTGCCTTCCAGGCACGGTGCCACGCACGGCGTGCCTGCGGCCGTGCCTGGCCAATTTTTCTTCGGGGAGCCACTGCCCTCCAGGCACGGTGCCACGCACGGCGTGCCTGCGGCCGTGCCTGGCCGGCAGTGGCTGTTTCCAGCCGAATTTGGTCTAACTTGCCCGGTTTGACCCCGGGGTGGCCCGCACTCAATCCCAACGACGTATATGATCAAAGTAAGCCTAGAAATGACCAGAATAAGCGTATTACCTGCGACGGAGTCGGAATTAGCCCGAGCATCGGCCTTGGTCATTGCGTACACTCTCGCTTGAGTTCTTCCTTGGTTCACGGAGGGTGCGTTGCTTGTACTTGCCCCGCCGTGGCCCGCGCTTGCATTTGGTGCCCCATCCCGGTTTCTACTCACTGTGGTTGCACTGCTTGGTCCTGATGACCGGTCCCCACCAAGTTGAGGGCAATTGAGCCTTATGTGCCCCGTATCTCCGCATTGGTAGCACCGTGGGGGATCACGACATTTGCCCTCGTGATTTCTCTTGCAATTCCTGCACTTAGGCTTCGTCGAGGCTTGTAACCCCGAGTTTTGCCCACCCATGTTGGGATTCCCCCTTGATGGTGGTGCGGGTGCCCTGAAGGATCCTCCTCCCCCGTGATTCATCTTCTTGTTTGAACCTTGGGGGCCATGGTTCTCCCATTTTCTTTTCTTTGCCTCCTCGGCATTTCTTCGCTTCCTCTCTTCCCACTCCTTCTCTCCCTTCAAACCTTGTTCCACCACTTGACTAAATGTCATATTAGGCAATTGTGTTGCCCTCTCACGTATGTCAAGGTCCAAGGCATCCCAGAAATGGTTCACCATCCGATTTTCATCACAAATGTACTCTGGTATGAACTCAGCAAGCTTTCTGAACTTGTGTTCAAGTTCCTTCACCGTGCATTCCCCTCCTTGGGTCAAATTCGTGTACTCCCTCCTCTTCAAGTTCACCTCGAAGTCGGAGTAGTATTGGCTAAAGAATTCTTGCCTGAAGTTCTCCCAAGTGACCGCCTCACCGTACTTCCCTTTGACACCGTCCCACCACGTGGACGCCATTCCTTCTAGCAATCTTGTTGCCACTCTCATCTTCATATGGGGTGGCAGCTGCATATCAAGGGCCGCTTCATTGAATCTCTTGATCCACTCGGCCGCCACGGAGATGTCTCCCGTTCCATCAAACGGTTTACATCCCAAGTCTCTTGCCTCCTTTAGGTACTTTGAGATCCTTATGATAGGAACCTCGGCACCTCGACCTCCTCGAAGTTCAATGCTCTCCCTAGGAGTCGCGCGGCTTCCTCTCCTCGAAGCCCCTTCCAAAGCACGCCTTTCCCGGCGCCTTTGGCGATCTTGTTGGTATTGCCGGAGCAATTCCTCAATCCGTTCAAGAGCGTCATTATCATCACTCTCATCACTAGCATCATCGTGTTCCCCATCATATGGGGTGTCAACCGGCTCAGTTCCCGGTTGGTAAGTTGAATCTTCCTCGGACTCATAGTGCTCATCTATTGTTTCCACGTGACCGTCACTCACGGTCAGCGAGTGGCCTGCTCGGCCCTGTCCCCCAGACTCTCTTGATCCCCCCTGACTGCCACGTTGGGATCCCCCCAGCACCTGGCCAGTCGGGTTCCGTCGAGTCACTCTACCGGTGCGTTCCATTTCTGAAAGAAGTTTAGAATGAGCCATTAGGCTCGTATCAAATGTCAAGTGACGGATAGGTACTTAAAGACACCTTTCGGCTCAAATCACCGTCATACCAATTGTTAAGGGTACCATCTTAACAATTAGAGACTTTGCAACTCAAGTACCAAAAGTTCTATAAGTACAAAACTTTTATGCTCATGGTTTTCAAAATCATTTTCAAAAGGGATTTTGAAGCTTCATTATGAAGTTTACGGACTAAGGCTCTGATACCAATTAAATTGTCACGCCCCGGACCTACCGGACACGTCAACAACCCGCCGTACAGTACGAATAGTCAACCGCAGTCCAACTCATCCATACTATACTAGGCGTCTTGAATACCATTCACACATAGTACATCCATAAACAAACATAATGTAAAATATTCATATAAAGCAGCGGAAACATTAATACACGTATTCAAGCCACACGTGGCAAACATGGGCATACAAGCCCCCAAATAGTATTCAAAATAATTTCCATGAGCATTATTGTAATTGTTTAAAACAGAAACGGAAGAAGCACGAACCACGTCCTCCTCCTTTGATCTTCCCGAAGCAACGGGCGTGGTAGCAACCTTCAAGTCCTACCTGAAACTGTGAGGTGGCCTCCCCCGTGAAGGGGAGGTCAGTACTTGGAAGCATTTGACAAGTACAATGACAACTATACTAAGTATAATCAACGTTTCAATTTCCAAGACCCTCAAATAGGGTGATATTACAATATAGGTCATAACTCGTGGTTACCCTCTTTACAAATATACTTACTTTATATATAAAGTCAAGTAATCGGCCGAAGGCTCATGTTTACTTTGAAAACATTTAACCCTTCCCCCGTGACTTCAAGCCACACCCATCTATATCAGTTTACCATGCTAGAGGCTTCCTCTAGTCATGTTTTGTCGTGCTAGAGGCTGACTCTAGTCACTACATTCGGTGTTAGAGGCTTCCTCTAATCACCTTACATACTTTGTGCTGGAGGCTTCCTCCAGTCACATTACATTATGCTAGAGGCTTCCTCTAGTCATCTTACACTACGCTAGAGGCTTCCTCTAGTCGTTCTACACGAATGCTGGAGGCTTCCTCCAGTCATTCCTCATCGTGCTAGAGGCTTCCTCTAGTCACGATACTACTCACTAAGCAAATTCTATGCCTAGGTTTTCTCTATCTTGAGTAGCCTATGAGGCCTACTCCTATTGTAATTTAGCGGTTACCCATTCCTACCTTAAGACATCTCATAAGACTACTTAAGGTGCATCCTTCACAATCCAAGCCCTTAGGATTTGTTCTATCACTTTTTACACTAACATTCCCGACTAGAGAATTCAATACTAATCCATTAGTCTTTAAACAACCAAGATCTTTAATTCATTGTTATAAGGCTCATTCCTACGGATCTTCCACTCCGTGTAGGATTTAATCTCAATATAAAAATATCACTTTTATCCATTCGTGATTTCTACACATGAAGTAAAAGTATATTTTATCACATAAATTCATGGTTTGCACAATCATTATACCATCATATTTGTAATGCATCATCATACACAATTTTCTCATAAACTTGTATGTTATGCATCTTCTATTCACAAACAATATTATTTCCATTTAGGCATTACTAATCATTAATAACCTATGAAAATCACATTTAATTACTTTAGGTAATCTTATGAAATTAACCCAAAGATTATAAACAATATAGTCGGTCATCCTCACCTCAAATGAGCTTTAAAACTTTCCTTCTCGATCCAATGACCAAAGCCTCGGCCAAGAAAGATTGAGGACTGATTCCTTGCTTGGAATTGAGTGTTAAACAGCCTCTTCAAAGTGCTAGTTCAACTCCTAACCGAAGACACAAAAACAGTCCCTAGAACGGGTGTTTCCCGACGAAATCGTTCCCTAACCTTTCAAGGTTTTGTCTAGATTAGTATCTAACTTTTCCAACAATTAAAGTCACTTTATAATAACATTTTATACACTTCAATCAGTGTATAATAGTTCTTCAATCATTTATATGGTTTAGACAATAGAGAGGAAGGTTTTGGATTCAAACTTACTTTGAATACAAAAACGTATTCCGCGAGGTTGTGTTTTGCTCGGACGATTTGAAAGCCTTCCACTACTCCGATTGATGCAAACCAGACCTTCACGGATTCCTCGTCTTGAGAGCTTTCTGTGGGTATCTCGCACGCCTTATTTGGATGTGTATAACTCGAGATATGAAGCAAACAAGTAACCTTACGCACTGGAAAACGAACCTGCGGCAGCTTCCCCTTCCTCTTGCTTTCTTGGTTGTGTGGCTCTCTCTTTCTCCCTTATCCTTGGGAGTTCGAATGAGGGGCTTAAGGGAGTGTCCAAGACCCTTCAATAAGGGTGGATAAGTTGTGTGGAGTGAAATGAATTGGTATGGTCTCCATGAGATGTTTTTAGACATGGGTGGGTCTCACTTTTGATCTCTTTGTCATAAGATGTCTCTTTGTACTCATTCTAATTTATTTGGAACAAGTCAACTCTCTACATCATATTATTGATCTCCAATATGTGTATGATCATCCCAATAATTTACATGATGAATATTATAGAAGAAAAACCCTACTCCCATTATTTAGCTCAATAATGCCAAAGATGGGGTTATAGGCATTTGTATTCTTCTCAAATCATCCTATCACTTATTTTGACATTTGCCATTCATATTATTAGGCTACAAGCCGTGTGGGTCGCCCCCGAGTGGGCCTACGACGCCATTCTCGAATACTTGCTATTCTAGCGGGTTGAGCCCAAAATAATATCTGGGCCGCCCGCCCTTCCTCAACTTGTCTTGAAATGTTATGTATTAATATTTAGATAATGTTAGGCTCTTTTATTTATTAATAAGGCCCGATACTTATATACGAGTTCGAACAGTACAATAATCGATCATTAATTACGTAAAACATTAGTCGTTTTACAATCGTTTGGGAATCAGAAATCCAATACATAAACTTTGAATTTTAAAATCAAGTTTTCAAGGACGTTTGGGTGCGGTGTCACATAGGTGGCCGATTAAGCGCTCTGGATAAGCAACTAGGCGCCCTAAGCGGACGACTAATTCACCTAGGCGACAAACCAATTAGTCGGAGCACCTAGAGTAAAATCGAGGCGCCCGGCCACCGCCTAGCGCCTAGGAGTGGCGGATTTTGCAACCAAATTTTTGGCGTTCAAAATGATTTTATCTATTTCACAATAATATTGTTTGGTCCACCAATTGAGAAAAGTAACTTTTTCAACATTAAAATCCCAACAAATAAGGTTATGAGCATGAAATATTACATAAAAATCAATATACAAATTATTACATCAATTTTATATGTGTATTTTTACGTTTTATTTTCGATATTTTGGGAGTTCACATGAACACCCTTGAATAAATGAGCTCCGCCACTGGCGCCTAGGCGGGGACTAGTCAAGCGTCTAGAGCGATTTTTAGAGCAGTGGGCATGAAGAAGGATTAGAAACAACAAAGCTCTTCCAAGAGTAGTTTAGTTCATAGAAGGCTGAAACATATGGACCAAACAAAACTTGAAACTTAATTGATAGCTCCAAAGTTAATTAAAAATTAATTTGAAGTGAATTACTATTCCATTCTAAATCATTGTTTATGCTTCATGAATAAAAGTGTATCATCTTTCACTGACACCTTTCATATGAAACAAATATGACATGTATACAAATAATTAATAGAAGTATAAGACACTTGCATTACTAAAATTTTAAAATAGAGTACTATTTTTAATCTTTATAGCCTCTACAGCTGAAGATATCATGGAACACTACGCTATAAGTCTAGAGAAGGGCATACATGCTATCTTGTAAGACTCGGGCTGGAGAGTGACCCGGATAAGTGAGTGGGTCATAGGTCGTGAGCCCGGGCAATGACCGGTAAACCCGGTCAACAAAAACATATATATATATATATATATATATATATATATATATATATATATATATATATATATATATATATATATATATAATTATATAAAATATTAAATTCGTAAATAGAAAATTTATATTCCTTCATGATTTGATAAAGATAATAAGACAACCTAAGCAATGTCAAAAAACTAATGTGTTAAAGTATATATTGATTTTAAGAAAATGTAAAATACATTTGAATTTAGTTGAATAATAAAGGGAGAATTTGACTTTGCACCCCACTTTTTGGATGATATTGGACTTTGCACTCAATTTTAAAAAACTTTGATTTTACACCCCATTTCACTTCAAAATCCTTTGACTTTACACCCCATTTAGAAATTTTCCTTCGCAAATGTTATATGATAGGGTGCAAAGTTAAAGGTTTTTATAAAATGGGACGCAATATCCAATATCATCCAAAAAGTGGGTGCAAAGTCAATTATGGAGTATATGGCTCAGGGACCGCCCACATACTCCTACTTCTTCTAAACAGGCCCAACAAACCCAGTAAGCATATGAAGCCCGAATACAATGGCCCAAGCATAAATGGGCCCATGGTACACATAGAGATGCCTTTGGAGCGATGGACAAATGCACCAAACTTCAGGGAACGTCTACTTTTGGGACCCACGAAGCTGTTGGGAGATTCTGACAAGAACAGTAGCCCTCCACCCCTTAGCGGTGTCACATCCAACCACAGCATTTAATACGGTGCCACATGCAGTGTCGGCCCCAGCATGACTGGAGTGACCCTCCACCACTGATTACTTGACACGTGTACTCGCAATTAATGCGCCTAGCATTTATAGCCGCTATAAATAGCGCCTCCTTTTCCCTCTGTAAAGGGACAACAAGTTCATTTAATATATCTGACTCTCTCTCTTACTTATTGCTCCAACTTCTCTCTAGGTATCCCTCGGATATCATTCGGATATGCTACCCCCCGAATACACTATCCATCAGTCAAATTCTCCCAATAATAAATATGAACATAAGACCAAGTACAAAAAAAAGATGATACATGTAATTGGAAAGTATAATACTCCGTAATAACATTGATATTTATTTACTATCATTTTCATTACTCCGTATATATAAAAATAAATGAATTAATAACTTAATAAATAAATTAGTTATTTAATTAAGATTTAATAAAAAAAAATGCCCGGCTTAAAAGAAAACAAACAACCTGAGTCGTAATAGAATTATAGTATTTATATTCATTTTTTAAACTTAAGTTACCATAAACTATATTCTACTCTCTAACTCACTGTTAGTTCTATTTATGTAAACGGCCAAAACCAAAACATCCGTATGAGATAAGAAAACTTATCTTTTCTAAGTACTTTAAATAAGTATTCAAGAGGTAATTGAATAAGAACAATGAGCTATAACTTTTAAAAATAATATGCAATGAAAATGGTACCAAAAAGAAGTCGTCTTTTTTAAATACTTTTTAGATTGCATACTCACTTCTAAATTCTAATTATAATGCCTCATTTTGATTCATAATATCATTTTTTCAAAAGCTTATGCTCCCCTGATTCCAAATTTATTTGCAAAGCCAACATTTTTAAGTCAGCTAATGTCGAAGTTACGTCATCCGTATTAGTAATTAATTCAATTTTAATAGTTAAAATTTACATATTTAAAGACGACATTGTATTCACTAACTCACTATTAGTTCTATTTGTGTAAATAAACAAAATTAAACATCCGTATGAAAGAAAAAATGATCTTTTCTAATGGATTAGATTGTATATACTCACTTCTAAAATATAATTATACAATGCCTCATTTTGATTGTGTTATAATATCATTTTTCAAAAGCTTATACACCCCCGATTCCAAATTTATTTGAAAGTCAACATTTTTTAATCAACTAATGTTAAAGTTAAGTCATCCCCATTAGTAATTAATTCAATTTTTAATAGTTAAAATAGTCAAATTCAGAAACTACATTAAATCTTTTTTTTTTTTTTTTTTTTTTTTTTTTTCAGAAACTACATTAAATCATTTATAAAAGTGTAAAATCCAAGGAAGAGACCTCGGGGGAGCAGAAGAGAAGGAGGCTTTGATCTAGGAAGCTCATGAAGGAATCAAGCAAGAGGATGATAACATGGCATTGGATGGGCAAAAAAACGGGGAGGGGGCGGGCTTTGCTCTGTGAGCCCGCCGAAGCTATTCTGGTCAGTTGGGAGGCAGCAGGTTCGGGTAATCGTGTGGTTTGGCAGGCTCGAACAGAGGATTTATTTTAGGTGTTTTGTTTCTTATTTTTCGTTTTGTTTCATGATCGTAAAATGTTAGTTTTGGATGTGGGTGATGAGAGGATTGTGGTAACCGTTTTTGGCTTTTCAGTGTCCTTAATGGATCAACAAATTATATTGCTTCGTTGGAGGTGATTAATTTCAAGTCTGGTTTCGCGGAACGGCGGTTGTCAAGAATCTTTTTGTCGGTTTACCCATAATCTGAATTATGTGTTATCAATAGTCAATTTCTTCCAAAAAAAAAAGTGTAAAATCCAAATTAGAATATGATTGAAAATTGATTATCAAATAAAGTGAATAAAATGAAATTGTTTGACCAAACAATATTGACTTTACAAGTCAATTTGGGACGGAGTAAATTTATAATAGGGTTAAGCGATAAACTATTGAAGCTCAAAAATACTTCAGTAGAGAACTGTACTTGAAAATAATATACGGAGTAGTTTTGAACGTTTTGACTTTTGAATACTTGGAGAGTTGGATCGGAGTTAACATTATTGCTTTAAACATTATGAAATTCATACCGCACTTTAATTTCATTATCAATAGCAAATACGGAGTATTAACTTTGAAAGCATTCAACCAAAAAAAACTTTGAAAGCACTTTGGGGTTGCAATTCTTGAAATAAAAAGACTATTCAAATACCTTTTAAATGAGACTATATTTGACGTATTTTAAGTATATCGCGAGATTTATTACGCAACTCAAAGTAGGATTATTAAAATAAATCAAAAAAAGAAATGTAAACTTTAGATCTTAGTGTAAATTGACAAGCAATCCATTGGATTTCCCCAAGAACCAAATGTTACGATTAGGCAAAGATAAACGATAAATTAAGAGCAAGAACACAAGAATTAACGTGGTTCACGCAATCGGGGTGATTACGCTAGTCCACGGCGAACGAGAGAGAGGATGTATTATTATCAGTGTCCCAAGGGGTTTACAAGTACATAAGAGTCGTTTAAATAGGTTTAAGAAAACCTAAACTGAGATTAGAGCCGTAGGCCCAAATTAAGCCTGTAATTAAAACACACCCGTCGTCTGACCCGGTCGGGTCTCTTATTTGACCCGGTCGGGTCTCCTTCACAGAACACAAACCCGGGTAGAACCAGGTCGGGTTTCCAAAACAGAAGCCAAAACCAACCCTGACCCGGTCGGGTCCCTCCCCTGACCCGGTCGGGTCTCACTTCCAGTGAGATCCCCCGGTCTCTGCTTCAACATACCCGGTCAGGTGGCCAACCATACCCGGTCGGGTATCTGCTCTGAACCTAAGAACAAGACTCCATCTTCAACAATCTCCCACTTGGAGGCTTGGTCAACAATTATCTGCCATCCAAGAACATGTATCTTCTGTAAAAACCCCTGATCTCTCTCTCTCTTTCTCTTTCTCTCTCGTCCGCGCCTTCTCATCAAGTATCTGGAAGGCCCGTTGAAGCCATGCATAGCTTCAACTTCTCGGTTGTCACTGCCTTGGTAAGCATGTCTGCTGGATTCTTCGTACCAAGGATCTTCTTCAAATTTATAGTACCATCTTCAATCAACTCCCGGATGAAATGATACCGCATCTTGATGTGTTTCGTTCTGCTATGAAACACCGGATTCTTCGCGAGATGAATAGCACTCTGGTTGTCACAGTACAGACCACAATCCCCCTGTTTCATGCCCAACTCCGAAAGAAAGTTCTTCAACCAAATCATCTCCTTGGCCGCTTCAGCAATAGCCATATATTCTGCTTCTGTGGTTGAAAGAGCTACACTCTTTTGTAATCTGGACATCCAACTGATTGCCGTACCTCCAATAGTGAATATGTAACCCGTAGTGCTCTTCCCGGAATCATGACAGCCCCCCAAATCAGCATCTGCAAAACCTTCTAGAATTGCCCCATTCCTCCTGAAACAAAGAGCAGTTCTAGAGGTGCCTTTCAAGTAGCGTAGCAGCCACTTGACCCCTTCCCAATGTTCCTTCCCTGGATTTGACATAAACCTGCTAACAACTCCCACTGCATGAGCAATGTCTGGCCTTGTTGACACCATCGCATACATCAAACTGCCAACTGCTGATGCATAAGGAACTTTAGCCATCTCATCTTTGTCTTCATCGGTCTTTGGAGACTGCTGCTTGGAGAGTTTCAACTGACTCCCTAACGGTGTACTCCTTGACTTGGCATCCGTCATTCTGAACTTCTCAAGGACCTTCTGAATGTACTTCTGCTGTGAAAGCTTTAAAGTACCTTCCACCTTGTCTCTGACTATGCTCATCCCAAGAATCTGTCTCGCCTCCCCTAAATCCTTCATCTCAAATTCTTCAAACAACTTCTTCTTGAGCTTGTTGATCTCCTACATGTTTGCTCCAGCCACCAACATGTCATCAACATACAAGAGAAGAATAATGTATGAAGACTCGAATTTCTTCAAGTAACAGCAATGGTCCATCTTGCATCTAGTGTACCCATTCCGCTGCATAAAACTGTCAAACTTCAAGTACCACTGTCTAGGAGCTTGCTTCAGCCCGTATAGACTCTTCTTGAGTTTGCACACCATCTTCTCTTTACC